GTTTCTATAAAATATAATACAAGTGTCATAATTTATTTCGTCAATGTTTACCGCTGAGGCAGATTTGTATATATACATTTTTTTAACTCCAGTTTCCAGGAAGATCTTTTGTAATATGGTTTTTGCCCATTTAAATCGTTTAAGAAGAAGAAACAATGATATAAATCGTTAAAGCTAGGATTTATAGCTTCAGTGAGAGTTTAAAAAAAAAGGATAAATGTAGCAACCAATATCAATATGAACATAAAAATTAACTTGCGGCAGTTCCCACATAAGGACCACTCTAGTTACTCAGTACCGAAAATCAAAAAGGAGTTCGGATTTTTTGAGGATTCCCTAAAATTATTAAAACTATAAGAGTTTCTCGAATGGTTTACCGGAGAACACGTTTAATGTTATGCCACTAATCAATTCAATACAACCTAAAGTACGACGCATATGCAATATTAAGGAACGTGTCAATAATACTCAGTAATTAATGATCATTTGGATACAAAAAGTAATATAGAGAAAATAAAACAGCTTTGCTTTGCTGCATGCTTCGATGATATCAAAGTGTCTCTTATGTCGGTATTCATATCTGTATTTTTCCAGTTTTACTAGTTTATGATTCTCCTATACATTTCGAACCCGCGCTAGTAGTTTAAAAAGAGTAGTTTTAAATTAACGCGACCTAACATTTATTCGTGACCGTGACAGGATCGGTCACTTTACGAGAGAAATGTACTCTCTTAGATAAACGTTGATGATCGAAGGTAGCAAACGAATTAGAAAATTCCTTATTAGGTAGAATTGGGTCAAATGAGGGAATCCACTCCAGAAAGTCATCTCAAATACCTTATGCTATTTTTAAAGAAAGAATTAGAGAACAAGCAGCATGTTTCTCTAATGTTTTTGGACTAGGTTATCGAAATAGTAGAGACTTTAGCATTGCATTGCAAATAAGACTAAAATGAATCTAGAGTGATCACCTACTGCTATTGACTTGGCAATGAAGTAAAATGCGCTTTTTGTAGCGGTCTTCGAGATAACGCTAATTGCTACGGAGCAAAAAATTTCTTTAGAGAGGAAACACAAGTGAAATAGGTGCTCGGTTTCGTTGTTTTAAAATTGGACATTTGTCACGAAATTGTCGGGTCAAATACTTTCAAATAGCAGGTACACAGGTATACTCCAGTCAGAGGAGTTGTGCAGTTATACCGCGTATAGTAACGTAATCAAAAAGGATCCGTATGTCTATATTGCTACCATTTTTAGATGAGGATTTCAAAACTGAGAAAAAAAAATTCCTGTGCCAATTTACGACATCCAGTAATAAAGATGTCGTGCTATGACTTAACTGCACAATTGCTTAGACTGGACTTTATTGTGACAAACCTTGGATCTCGGATCTCAGGAACCTTTCATAAAACAGTAATTTGTACCCGAGTCTCACATGTTTTTGTGGGGTCTTGGAGAAAGAAATTGATGCACCGTGATGTGAACTTCTCGGTTACTTCCGACGCTGCTCCCATTAACATATCAATTGGATTAGATGCAGTTTGAAAGAATACAGGTACGGGTACAGGTTTTGCCATGTGGGAACCCAAAAATTTTAGGAATCACGGATCCAGTGCAGCAAAAAACCAGTGAGTTTTTTCTTAGACATAATTTCTGTGAAGTTGGAAGGACGGTATGAAATTAGAATGTCATGGATAGAGAACCATCCAGCATTGCCAAGCAGCTGCAATGTTGCCAAGAAACAGAGATCAGACAGCGAGGCTCATTATTTACCGCACAGGTTATCAAAGATGCGATTAATTATATAGTGTAGATACACAGACTACAGTTAATGGCTGCAGTGATAGGTGTTCTACTGTTAAGGGAAGAAAAATAAGAGATTCAGTGTCAAGCCTATATTTGGACAGGTTATTTTTGTTTCATTTTGGATTCATAATAACGAAGAATGGACCACGTTTGTTTGAAATTAAAAAATCCGCTACTACTGAAAGCTGCTGCCCCGACATGGCTGATTTGCCATGTCGGGGCTGCTCCGCTAAAATACTGTACGATTCATGAGGGTGGAAGGGACCAATCTTTACCATGACTCAGCGTACTGGCCTTTAAGGAGGAATACGTAAGTCAAGAGAGAAAAAAAAGTTTAATTACTACCCTAATAAATAATGACAGTGAATTTATAACCTTAGACAATTGGTGTCTTAATTATGTTTCATAACACATAAAATCGATTCGGATGTGTGTGTATTCCGATTTCTGTACAACTTAAGAAATGAGAGTGACAAACTTCAGAGTCGGCTTACATCTGCAGAGTTTGAAAAAGCTGAGGATTTTGTGTTAAAGCTGGTATGACGGGAGTCTTTTGCTGACAAGGAAAACATACATTTATCTTCTCTAGACAAATTTATAGAAAAAAATGTTGTTTTGCTATTAAGATCTAAGTAACAGGGAGGATCGGGAATGTTTTAGATTTTCCACAATACTACCTTCAAAGCACCGGTTGGTTAGTCAAGTAATATAATAATAGGGGGCCATGAACGTTTCTTTTCTAGACGCGGTTGACAGAAAAAAAAACAAAAATTAAGAGAATACCTTGGCAAACGGTTTCGTGGCCAATACTTGGAACAACTTCAGCTGCCGCAAAGGCGTCAGATTGGTCTACAGTGGAAGAAGTTGTACTTCTTGGTAATGACCAAGGCAAGTATTTGGGTTGACCGATTGGACTGTTATATATAATTCGTAACCACAACCAAAGGACAGTTTCTTAATTAGTTAGTTAACGTATTTATTCTCTGGAATGTTGCGGATCAGCAATCTGCGGGAGCCAGTTTAAAAACGGAAGAGATGTTCGACAAGTCGGAAAAAAATTCAGATACTGAAAGTGATTCTGAAAGATCGCAAAATTTGCTGAAAAAATTATAGTGACGCGTGGTGACCGTATATTTAGGTTACCCAAAATGTTTTAGGGGGTTTAATTTAGTTATGGATTTTCATGTAATTTGTTTTGTGAGCTCCTTAAGTTTGTGTTGAGGGTGGCTCAAGTGGGAAAATGTTCGAGTCAGTTAAAGACTTCAGTTCATTTTGCCCACACGTAGGCGTGGTTTGGAAGAGAAAGCAAAATGCAATGGTTTCAAGACTTATTGATTTTGTTTGTTATTTTTGTCAGATATACATACAGTTTTTTTGCAGGAATACATTTTTTATAACTTACTCAAAAAGTTTCTGTAAAGCCGCATTTGTTGGAGAAACTACGGTATACATTTCGAACCGTCGTTAGTAGTTTAAAATGGGCAGTTTTAAATTAACGCGTAATTAATTAAACAGTAATACAGTTCTAGTAGGTAATCTAGGATTAATATTGGGCCATTTAATGATTAATCGCCCGATATATTGTTTTGCATTTCATTGCTGCTGTTGTCCATAATATCCAGCCATTATTTAATATATTTTATGTTAAATTTTAGGTCAATCAAAATAAAGAAGTGTACAATAAAGATTGTGTGGTTTCGGTTGACAGGATTTTCTCATTAAATTACTTACTGCTCACCATTACTGCGAATCTTTTTTCACCCATATCTGTTGGTGTGGCAATGGACTTAGCTATCCTCAATTATGCACGACCAAAATGAATCATGTGTCTTCACCATACTCTGACTTCCATACGTTACCATTGTAATTGCGTCAGTTTTATTTGTCCACCGGGTATAAATTTATTTAATTTCGTTTTTGGTTGAAACCAACGTGGCGCACAAATGCACTTTTGCTTCTATTAGGAGAAACAATAGAAACGATTTTCCCGTAATGGAAAGCATGGGAAATAAACGGCCCATTGTGGACGAGTTCCGAGTAGCAGGGTTAATTAATAGCAAACAATTACGGGTTATTCGAGAAAGCAAATGAATGGTTTCAAATCGGAAAATGGGGATGTAATGAGATATCTACGAATTACGTTTGATTAGGGTATTTCTCGGTAGGAAACTATTTACAAATTTGGTCCGCTCTGGTTTAGAATCGTCTAGAATTTTAAAAACTAGACTGAATGAAATAAGAGTAAAATCAAGGAATTTTAACACTTTGCGTTAGGGCCAAATTTCAAAAAGTTCAACGTCAATCGCCTTATATAACTAAATCGTCAGCAAATAACTATAGACTGATTCAATGTCTGGAAAAACGCCACCATTTTTTTATGGTCAGCGTTAAAGAGGAATCAAGTAGCCGAAATATAACTTACCTCAGGTTTTAGTAATAAATTAGCTAAAATAATAATGTCAAAATCAACTACCAAAATTATACGAACACAGATCCATCAACGAAATTAAATAATGAATGTCAAATTTAAACTTTAAATAATTTTCAATGAATAACGACAATTTTCCATATCTCTATGATATGCAAATATGTATAGGTTGTCGCAATTATACCTTCTGCAGGGTGTTTTTCAGGGTCGCAGTGTTAGCATCCTTCACTTCGCTAACACATTCTGACCATTTGTAAAATACCTAGCTATTTCGAGATATTAATTAATTTCCATAAATTTTGAATGAAAAACAACCCAGTTTAAAAAGCTCAAACATTGGCTGCGGTTTACCAGTACCCTACCTAGTTCTTAGTACGTCACCGAGAGGTGTTTTAAAAATCATTACATTACTTCGCCGTCTTTCGAATCAAAATTGGCGAAAATTCTTTCTTTATTTTTAATGTTTCACGTTTATTATGAAATATTCTTGTTGATGTTTAAATATTAAATTAAAATAAATAGCAAAATCTAATTATTCTGACAAATTTGACAACACTAATTATACGGACAGGCAAAAATTTTATTAACTAGGAATTTAAAAACAAAATTATAGTGAACGAAGATTATTATTCAAATGAAGTTCTGAAGTATCGTTTTATTATCGAAAAACTCTTTTTTTTATTTTCAACGAGCCCTGTATAAAAGCGAGAGTTTCCATATTATACAAGGCGAATTGAAAACAAAACGTTTATCCTGAGAAACGCACCTTCTTGGTTTGGGCCTAAGTATTTCGTGGTTGGCATCAGTGATGCAGAGAGGGTTAAGGGGCCCCGTAAAATGATCCACCCCGGTCCACCGTGGAGCCAACTCCCAGCCCGCCGGCGACTCGTGCCCATTTTGCTGGGCCATCGCTCCTACCGCATTCCAATGTCTAGAACTTGTCGTCCACTGTCCACCATTGTCTGACGTTTTGAACACATCGCGTAATATTCGTCGGGGACACTGTTAGGAACCCGTTTTACGTTTGGGGAAATACACTTTTCGTCCGTTCGAACCCTTCCCGCGTATTTGTCATGTAATTTCGAACGAACGGTCCGGTTGTAAACATTACCTTTACCTTTTGACCATGAGAACCAAACTGAGAAACACCGAACGGTCAGGTACCATTTAGACCAGGAAGGTTCGGACGAAATTCGATGCCTGTAATGGGACATCATTCGCCCATCGTTAGTCAAGTGCATTTGGGGCCTGATTCGTATACTGTAGCTTAGAATTATGATGATTATTATTGAAGACAATTTGAAGTAACGATTGGCAGATAAAAATGACTTTTTATTACAAAAACATGTATTATCTTCAAAAGGCATTTATTTAATTGAAACGAAAAAAATCGATGCCCCTCGGGCAGGTTTGGTATTTCCGTAGCATACTCCAAACATCGTACACCAACCTGCACCTTGCGTCATTTTGTTTTCAAACATCGATCTACACCCCCTTAACTCGTTTTTCCCGGGATCCGGATATATTTTCTGAAAATATTACATATTACACGTCGTGGTGCAGACTAGTCGGCAACTGTTCACTGTGTGACACTGCTTGACGTTATCGCTGTTTTCATGGCTTTTATTCTAGTTTATTACATTTGTAGAACAAGCTGCAAATTATTGTTTTTTTTTTTTTTTTGAATAGGCACACAAATGAAAATGGCATTCTCTAATTAGCACAGATTTTCCCAGAAGATAAAGTAATCTTTGTTTTTAATTACTTATTTTATTATTGCCAAAAGTTACTTGCTGAAATTTTCCTCTTTTTACTCCCTTCTCTAAAATACCCAATTATACACAGATCTAGAGTGTAAAAAGTCTCATATGACAACCTTAGTTTCATTCCCTAAGGATACGAACCGCTTGGGACATTTCCGGAATATTACCACACGGGTTTGAGAGCAATCGAATGTTTTTGGAGATGATTTCCCACAGCTCGAATTTTGACGTTTGTCAATTTTAACGGTCATGTCAGTGAATGTATTCGTGTTGTTTTGCGAAAATGTACCCAAAAAACTAATGGTAGTGGAAGAAGTATAGTGTGCAACATGTTTGAAAAACTGTTTAAATCACTAGTGTAATAGTCAGTTTTTTCCCTAAAATAATATCTGTTTTGGACTTATGTGTCTCGAACATGTTTGTGTGTAGAATTTAGATCAATTTTTTGGAATATATATAGCATTTTTTTAAAGCCTTACCTGCGTGATTACAGAATACATGAAACAAGAAGTCTTCCTTAAGGGGATAAAATATTTAAAATGTCCCAAGTGGTGAAAAAGGTATAATATAGTACTAAACAAAACCATTCCGGAAATCAGTTTTTGTAAATCGTATTAATTTTTAACAATTCAAAAATCGAATTTTTTGTAGGGGCCTTCAAATCGACTAATTAATAGTTTTTTATTGTCAAACTTATATATTGAATTTTTTGCGTTGAACTTTGAATTAAGACATGTATCCTTGATTCGAAAATGTTAATAGACTAAAACAAAAAAAATGTAGATTTTTAAGACGTGGCAGCCTTGCTTTAAAGGCGTTTTATTTTAGATCACGATATTTTCTATATCAGTAGGAAAAACTTTTTTTTCTACCTTTTTTTCTACTCCCTTCTGTAAAATACCTAATTATACACTCATCTAGCATGCGGAAAGCATCACTCTACCACATGAGTTTTATGTCCCACGGATCCGAGCCGCTGTTTTCGGAGATTTTACGGCACGTCTTAAATTTTGACATTTGTCACTTCTGACGGTTATGTCAATCAATGATTCGTGTTGGTTTGCAAAAATGTGCCCAAAAACTAACGGTCATAGACAAAGTCTAGTAGGCAACGCGTTTGGCAAACTTTTTATGTCACAAGTTGTTTTGGCACGAGCGGAGCGATAATGAAATGTCGTTTACCACACTTGTTGCATTATATACTATTTTTAGTAAATCCTTAATTATTCACTTTCCTAATCAGGCTCCGAGAGTCTAAAACTTCGGTCTCGTGTGTGTGTGAGCCTCCTGAGCGTTCGACACAAAAATACTGCACTGTACTTACACTGAGTGTAGTTATTCTGCCGAAAGCGTTTGCTTAATCGTGGCGTCATTACATACAGCGCCTTAGTTTAAAAAGTCAAATATTTTGTTAAAGGCTAGTCCGTTACACTTGCATAATCGCTAGCAAAAAAAAAAGACGAAAAGAAAAAAGCGACACTTGTGCTATCAAATCGGACTAAACGGCATTCGAAATCGGTCAATTAAGCTGTAATGCGTCAAAGCGAGAAATCACAAGACCACTTTTTGTGCCGTGTCTTCTAACGCAAATGGACCCATTAGAAGCAGTATATTGCGTGCACGTGTCTAAACCAGTCAGTTCTCGAACGGCCACGTTTTTGAACCAGAGTACCAACGAAAACCAGTTTCGGAAGAATTTCACGAACGGCAGCCAGCCTCCCCACTTCTGGGCCAGGGTGTGTATACACATCAAAATTGGTTCGTCTTCGATAGGCGAGGAAAGATTGTCAAGATCTCTCATGGTCATTACTCATCTTTCAAAATCATACGTTTCAAAGATATCAAATAAAAAGTTAAGAAACAAATGCTATTAAAATTAACCATATGAAAAATAGCTATTATACTATTTTAAAATATTGCCGTCACTCGTTTTATTCGTTGTTGGATGCGACTGATAGTAGAGTCTGTCCTTTTTATCAGTATGTGATCCGCGAAGAACATTCTATTACTACTCTATAGCGGGTAAATTTTATGTGTAATTCAATTTATTTATGTTTTTGTTTCTGGAAAATTTTGCTCATTATCCATATGTTCAGTCACGGAATTTAGTTCGCGCATTGTCTACCTAGACGTGTAAGGGCCAAAAGTTTTCGGAGCAGCAAAAGCAGACAGCAACAATCACGTTGTGTAAAACTTAATAAACATTTACTGTATGTTACCAAAATAAAACCCAATTCAAGAAATTTATTATTTGACATCCCATAAACAATTAAATATCGCTCCTCCCGATCAGAGATGATTAAATAATTAGTGCTCCAAGCAGGGAAGCAGTTTGAGGTTATGTTATTCGCTAACAGCCTTACAGCACGGATGGTTTTTTAGGTGTGCTTAGTTCCAATAGAGTTGTGTCAATCGGGTTTGATTCTGTCACTTCATAAGATCGAACTAACGAATCACACTTGTTCGTAATGATTCGATCACCTTGTTCGCTCTCGCGGCCGCCCTAATCGGTCTGAACTGACCGAGTACAAGACGAGCGATCGACCGATCGTATCAAAACAAATCGAATTCGCCGGAATACGATTCATTTGAATGGTTCAAGATTTAAATGCATGACTGAGACAGGCCACGAAAAAGAAATGTTATAATTATTCTACAATATTGAGTTGCGACCTCGATTGGTAGATTTGCTTATGTGTTGAATTGAATATTGAATGAAATATCTATTTCCACACAGGTATTTAATTTAAACAAATTAATGTATAACTGGTACAACCCAATATGTAGCACCTATTTTGATTAAATCATGAATCAATAAAAAGCAGAACACACCTAAATATTATACTAAATAGAACAGAAAACATAACATATAGACACAACAATAATTCAAATTCAAATGAATCTGAATCGCTCGTTCCTACTGTTCGGATTCAGTGACTATTGCCGCTTATGTTGCATCAAAAACTATTGAAATGAAAGATTGAAATGATTCGATTCTTTTGGAAATCGGTCACTGATTGATTCGCTCCTCATAAAATGAACGATTGACACAACACTAATTTCTACTCGTTATCTTATATGATCCGAGAATACTGTCAGCGACCAATTCCTAAACTATGATTTGAAGTTGGTTTTTCGGTCCACGTCAAACGAAATGTTGTAGGCGAAAATAAAGATTGATTTTCTTTAATTTAAAAAAGTACAATGAACTAGTTTGCTCTTTCAATTGGTTTAAGTTCACCAAGCAAACGCGCTTTTTTTTTACACAAATCGAACCGCAATGGGTACGCAACGTATTAATCTTACAGGTACTCTGGAAACGTAGGTTATTATTGGTTGTAGGTATTTTGTTTAGCTATTTCAAGAGCCTAATCGGGGCCAGGGAGATGAGAATTTTGATACTGGGCCTGGACGGTGCTGGGAAGACGACGATTTTGTATAGGTTACAAGTAGGTGAAGTAGTCACCACAATTCCGACCATCGGGTTTAATGTAGAACAAGTGACATACAAAAACCTCAAATTCCAAGTGTGGGATCTGGGCGGACAGACTAGCATAAGGTAATTTATAATTTATTTGCCAGAATCACCACTATAAATTTCCAAACCCTGCAGGCCCTATTGGAGATGTTACTACAGCAATACGGATGCTATAATTTATGTGGTTGACTCAGCAGACAAAGAAAGAATGGGTATATCCAAAGATGAGTTATTTCACATGCTCAGAGTAGGTAAATCCCTAAGCTGATATTGTTTTCTGAATAGAGTGGTTGTTTAAAGGAGGAAGAGTTAGCAGATGCGATATTGGTGGTGTTGGCCAACAAACAAGACATTCCGGGTTGTATGTCGCTAAAGGAAGTCCACCAAGCGCTAGGACTCGAGGCGTTAAAGAATCGGACGTTCCAGATTTTCAAGACATCGGCAACAAAAGGCGAAGGCCTGGACATGGCCATGGAGTGGCTCGCCAATGCCTTAAAAAGTCGAAAGTAACCGCTGCGAGCGCGAGTGTGGTTTGTAATTTGTTTTCTAGTCTTAAAGAATGTATAAATGGTTCACAGCACAGACTTGCCTAAGGATTACCGGGAACACAGGTTTCAATCTACCCTGTAACCGTTTATGCAAATTATCAACATATTTTTCCAAGATATGACCATATTTGAAATTTTTTGTTCATTTGTATTTAGTGTGTTATTTTTCATTCCAATTTCAGTATTGCTTTTCGAATCCACCGAAAAATATGTTGGCCGGATTTTTTTCTGAAAACGCGGCCATTTTAATCTTATTTATTTTTTGTGTTATCAAATCTCGGCATTATCAATGTAGTTAGTGTGTAAATATGTAATTGTAGCTTTTACATTAAACATTATCTGTGAGTTTTATTACTCCTTTAGTTTTTCAACAAAACGGACGAGTCAAAGAGAACACCAATGATGAAATTAAATCGGAGACCGCGCAAATATAACGTCAACCTCTCCATAAATATTGCAGCTTGTCTACCACTAAATTGCAAGACATTTGGCAGATAAAATTACCAGCTATTTTTTTACAAAAATTTGCAGATAAAGTCAAAATCATAAAAGATGACTTAAAAGTCTAAATAAAACTATATGGGATACTAAATATCGGATAGAAAAAATCTAGATGCAAAAAATGTTCAAGAAGCCAGTGTAGAACCTCGCGGACTCGATGAATTGCTTCATTACAACTAATGGGAGATGCAAGTTTCGCTTCCTAAAATCTGATTATAAAAATGCTCACGGATAATTTGTTTAAAAAAATGTAAAATTTAACCTGGGAAATGAATCACAGAACAAGCCAATCAACAATTCGTTAACAAAATTATATCAATAAGTAACCTAAATTAGCTCTAAATGGTAAAAAATAGCACAGAAATTAGTTTTAGACTACTTAAATTAATACTATTTCTTTTTAATATTAGGATTATGAATTTTTTTTATATACGACCAAGTTATTATATGCCTGGTAAAAACAATTTTGCATAACTTTTAACCGTTTATCGTGTCTAACATCAAAAAATTACCATTTTGACACCATTTTTATCTGTTAAAAATACATGGTGAAATTGCATCCTGTCTACCAGGAGAATTAAAACGCCGAATCATCTACGACCCCTGGTGCGACCTCTACCCTCAAATGAACGAAGCTGACACAGAATATCTAACCAAAACGCAAGATGGGTGATGGTACATCGGACAGATGACACCACTTTCACGACAATTTAGTTCTTTTATGTAAAATGCAGCAGATTAAAAATCTAATCATAAAGGTAACTTAGATTGAGATAGCATAAAATATGCAGCTGTCAGTTTGATGTTGGCAGTCATATTTTTGGAAGTGAAGACTAGGACCGTCGATTTTTTTTCTGAACGCCTCCTTATCACTTTATCGATTATCCTAACTCGCCTGTGGGCGGCATCTCGAAGCGCGAGTAACAGCCACCGTCAGGAGCTGACCGCCCTTCGCCCCACCGAACCGGCAGCGGCGCCTTTTTTTTCTGGTTCATCGTCTGATTCGGCGTCACGCTGCCTCCCGTCGTCGCCGCATCGTCGACAACGAAGTGGGATCGCTCTCCGGCACTACATCAAACGGTTCGTGGCGCGCGAACGTGGGCTACGCGGATAAATCAATCCTTTTTATTTATCGGCGGCGTCAAGAAAAACACGTCAACGCCAAACAGGTCATGTTGACAGCTCCTTGATACGAATTCAAACAGGATATTAAAAAAACGAATATGTGGATTTATTCGTGATCCGTGCCGGTCGATTTAATTGCCGAGGTTCTGTGCCGGTTTTGTTTACGCTGCTTTTCAAGGTAGGTGTGATCTCGTTTTTTAAATATTCGAGTGCGAGTCTGTGCGTCTGCGGCCTTAAATGTTTGTAAAAAAGTCTCTGGCTCAAAATATGGGTGAGAAAAGGTAATTTCGAACCGAACGGATTTTCGCGACGGTACTAGTCTTGATGTTTTTTACAGCCGCGTTTGGAAAACGTGAGGCGCATGCATTAAAAAGGCCGATTTTTCCTTGTCAAATACGCGGCATCTTTATCCCACTTTTCACTTAACAGCCTGGTAAAAAATTAACTAGTCCTAGTTTTGAAGACTCGACATAACGGAAAATCGCTATTCGATTGTTTTCCGCGAATTTAGTATAGCGATTAAAAAAACCATGGATAATAAAAAAAACTGAAAATATTTTTTCTTTTTTTAGCGTTTCATTTACTCTCTATAAACTGAAATGGCAACGACGTACTGCAAAAGTAACAAAGTTTACAATAAAAAAAAATTGCTAAAAATCTAAATTGCTTTCTTTCTCTTACACATTTATACAAATGCGCAAACCGTGCGTTCTTCTTACTTGATTACTTGATAAGAGGAAATTCATAATCTAACTTCACAAAAAACCGTTGAAAAAAGCTCCAGAAAAAGCCCGTATTATATAGAGATTGGTGTACCATTCCTGCTTAGAATATTTAAATCTAAACGTTTTAAAAATATATTGAAAAATTTATTGGTCAAAAAAGAGAAGTATGTATTTATTTTTCAGGAGTACCTGTTATTTCAAAAATCACTCAAAATGTATTTACCTAATTTGCCCATTTAACCAATATTTTTTATTTCTTAATTACGAAAAAAATATACAGATATACATTATCGTGTCATACTAATGGTAAAATCAAATTAAAAATTTTGGTTATTATATATAGAAATACTTTATTTATCTAATCATATTTATATAACTTAATTCTTAGTTCTACTCGATGAGTTATTATTTATTAATAAAACAAAATTATCATGTAATATATAGGCTGTAAATGCTTACTTGCCGAAAAAATAAATTTCCTTTGTCGCTTATATATACATTACTGGAACCACCTATAAACAACACAAGAATTGATCAATTCATAAAATATATATTATTTATTACCAGCAATGAAATTATTAGTAGGTTCTATACTTACGCAAGACTGTCACCATCAAGAATATTCAAAGGAGATGATACTGCCATTAGTACTAACTTGTAGGTTAAAGAAAAAGTTGCATTTATGATTTTTTTTTAATTGCTACTCAGTTGTTCTAATAACATTTTAAAACAGCTTTCCGAAAAGTTTTATTTTCAATGTGAGCTCTGTTTGGTACCTTTTTTTTTTCAAATTTCTTTGAATGGAAATAATACCACCGCTTCTAACGAATTCTTTGATACACCCTATATTGGATATTTGAATTGTGTATGTTTGTGTGCGTCTAAGAACGCATCGCCGAGCTTACAAAAAATAACTAGAGTGGAAACTTCGAGTTGGTAATTGCCATTTTCTTTTGTTTCTATATATATTAACCAACGGCTTGCCCATAATAGAAGCCTAGTCGACTTGAAAATCTGTATCCTTGTGGAATCGATCATTTTTGCTCCAATTGTGAGACACCTCCCGACTCTGTATTTAGGAGATTTGTAAATAAAAAATCTCAAAGAATGTTTTTGGATACTCAAGTTTTTTGATACGAGAACGCGCACGCAGTTTCTGCGTTTTATCACTTTAAGTAACAAAAGCGTGTCGGTAGTTTTGCACAGTAGACAGTTTAAAAAACTGCCATAACATTGTGCTGGGTACACACCACCCAAAAACATAAAATTTAAACTTATTCTAATGTAATAATTACATCATCATTCAGAACCAACAGTTGGCATAAGAAAATAGGAACGCAAGGCCTATAGTACATTCAAAAATTATCTATTCTTGAACTCCAAATGAAAAGTTTAATTAGTTTCGAACTAAATTGTGTTGAAAATAGTTACTGAAAATAGTAAATCTTACTCAAGGTATCATGATTAAGTTTTTACATCAAGAAAATTGCAACCAAAAGCCCGATAGGTACGATACAATTATACAAATATTGCATATGTTTGCTACCAATAAATTGCAAGAAATTTGGCAGATAAAATTGCATAGGCTAAGAATTTTTAAACTTTTGAAAGTTGATTCTGATCTGATATTTGATTCTTTATAATTTTGGCCTCCTAAATTTAAATCAGAAAAGCATTTTCCTCTATCACGTAACGTTTTTTTTATCAACATTAAAAGAATTAACAAATGAATATCTCGGTTGATTTAAACATTATTTTTATTACTACAAGAACAAAAAGCGAATTAAAAAACCTAAATTATGTAACAAAGTCTCAAACAATAGTTAAGTCCTTTTGTTTTTGGAAGGAAAAACTTCGTTTAGTCTTGTATATCCCATGGCCAAATTGTCGTTTTTTAATGACCAGTAATCTGCCATCAATGCATCGTTCCATCGACCTTGATATCTGCGTTTCTTTTTTATATCATTTCCTTAAATTTCTCTAACATGTTTTCTACAATGCGTTCGTAATTTGGATATACATATGTTGTTTATGACATCAGTAATAGGCGTCTCCTAATTGTCTCCGTTCTTCTCGATCCTTTGCTATGTTTATCCATCTCGGACCCGCAAATTTCTTAATTTCATCTACCTACCTCATGTGTGGTCTTCTTCTTTCTCTTTTATTTTCCTATGGTTTCCATGGTATGATCACCTCGTTCCACCTTTCATCAATATATCTAATATTGTGTACCGCAAATTTGCATTTTAGCTTCGATATTTCTCTTCCGACATCTGCGGTTTTAGTTTTCTCTCTAATCCACGTGTTTATTCTTTTAGCCTTTCCATCGCTCTTTATGTTTTCTTTATTTTGTTTACATTATCTTTGTTAAATGTCCATACTTATGCCCCACGTATGAGTAATTGGTTATAAACTCTGGTTTTCAGGTATTGTGGATATTTTTTCTTCTTTGGGATAAAACAGCTTTCCAAATGTTACCCAGAAAAGTCTGCATCTACTTTTGTTTTTTTGGTGTTTGATTCTCTTGACCCATTTTCATCTGTTGTCCCAGATATATGTAATATTTGACTTGTTCTATTATGATTGTAATGTTCTCTTTTGTATTTGTAATTGATTGGGTTTTATTGTAATTAATTTTGTGTGCTATACTTTGGGCTTGCATATTTACTACTTTGATCATTTCACTCAACTCGTTATTGTTTTCCTTTCCAATTTAGATTTTCGAATATGTCTTCCAATGCCATATTGAAAAATTTCGCCGATATTGCCTCTCCAACTCCTGTAATTATTGGTACTTTTTCTGTTCCTTCGCATATTCTAATAGTAGTTGTTGTTTTATTGCGTTCTGTTATGATACCTTTTACTTTTTACAACAGAGCAATAAATATCGTTTATTGGATCAAAATTTAAAAAACAAAATCCCACGAAAATAATCAAGCCCATATTACCCGAAAAAATTGCATATTGTTTACCATGAAAAAATTACCATGGCTAATTGCAATTTTTGTCTGTAAAGCCCGGTAGACACGATGTAATTTCTACATGTATTTCTGCATGTATTTTACTTTGTATTAACCTTTGAAAACAAGATTTCAAGAAAATAATCAAACCCAGTTTGCTCGAAAACTGACATCGTGTCTACCATAAAAAAATTGCAAGTCAAAAATAGATGCATTTTAAGCACCAATTATTATCTGCTAAAAATACATGCAGAAATACGTGTAAAAATTGCATCGTGTCTATCGGGCTTAAACATTTTTAAAATAGGGTTTTTCTTCTTAACACTTCATTGGCCAAGAACACTAGGACTCATAGGCAGGGTGCTTTGAACCAAAAGAACATATTTTGGCTACTCCGAATAATTTCGGTTTCGAGTGTTTACAGGGGTATCATCAGTCAACAGAAATATAGATATAATATAATATTTGATTGTCCTCTTCATAGTTGAACCCTTGACAAGCGAAACGAACGTCCGTGGGCCGCTTATTGCATTTTAATACAAATATGGGACTGATTCTCAAAGAATTACACCCAAAGTCGTCGTGTGTCCGGTGAAATGTTTCTTTTTGGCCGATTGATAGAGGACAAATTTACTTTATATAATAATGCTATTGATTTTTTTTTTGTTAAAATCCAACCCCCGGTTCATCGGTGTCCTGGTAAGCATGCATCGTATCTAATTTCCATTTGAAAAGAAGAACAAGGCTTTGTTAAAGCGAAACTAAAAAAATAGAAAAATATTGATGTGGCGATTCCCTTATGCAGGACGTTGTCTAATTAAATGTCCTTACTTAATGATGTGAGCTCTCTTTAAGAAGGAAACTTCATAGCAATATAAATTTAGCGTATTATATTTTTAGGTGCAGGGTGATAAAGTTTCTACAAATGAATAATGTCTCTGTAGATATATTTTGTGAACTGGTATGACCTATGGGAGACGAGTGGTTTGATGGATGAAACCGCTAAAATCGCCAATAATAACACTAATCGGCGAACCATCAATATATATGCATTTTACCGGCGGTCTGGTATTAGCCGCGTAATTGACCGTAATTGCAAATTATTTCGCGAAGCGTATTGGATAGTAGAAGGGGGTTTGGGGGGGGGGGGCTTAAAACCTTGAATCGAATCCAACAGACATGTTAATTCCATATCTATTTCTGCATTTTTTTTTTTAAAACGAAACCTCATCGCCGACAGGCACACTCTTGCAAAAGAAGAAGAACGAAAACGAATATTAACTGCTAGAAATAGACAATCCCCAAACTCGCTGATTTAATAGAAGTCCGGACTGATATACGCAGAAAATTTTGATACCTAATCAATATTAAGATTATCTATTCAAATCTAAATTTGGAATAAACCTTAAACGAATAAAAGCTTAATACGCTCTTAGATTCCGAATAGGTTAAGCCGCCATTGAATGCAAATTTTTCGATTTTTCTGCTCCGCAATGTATTCTGATGCCGTCATAAGCATTTTGAAGACTGAAAAAATAATATATGCTTATATATACATTCTCACACAGTATGAGTTTTGCATTATCCTAAAAAATTGTATTCTTTAACTGCGGTAACGTAACCTAAAACAGATTGGTCAAATCTATGATGACGTAATAAGCCAGTAAATTAGCATCGTTCGCATATATATATATATATATATATATATATATATAATATATATATATATATATATATATATAAAACATAAAAAAAATCCAAAAACTGAATTGAAACTAAGGTCAAACAGATAGGTAAATACAAGAGCTCATTCACAATATACTCTAAGTATTAGGGTTTATGTGTGTGCCAATAAAGATGTATTAATAATAATATATTTACTTACACTGAAATAACCTTCACGGAAGGAAACGCTTTAACTATCAAGATTTCTACGACCTTTTTTCAAACGTAATCAAAACTCTCGTATACTGCCTTGGAACAAAATATATAACAATACGTGAACTTAACTGGTAATAATCCTGTAATGATGGTAATATTTGAAAACACAAAAATTAAATTATTAGCAGACTTTGGCAAAATTTAAACAGTTGCCTACAAAACAACCTTTTTAACACACAAGTCGTTAAGACCAAAAAAAATTGTTTTTTTTTTCCTTAGCATTGTAAAATAAGAAACGATGTAAATTTCAGAAATAGTTCAGGCCGCATCAATTTCCTTACCTAACTCAAATGGCGGAATTGAAAAATGATTATTTCATATATTATTTGTATTCTGTTACTATGCATTGTTCAAACAGGTCAACCAAACTAAATTCAAAGTTCGGTGTTTATTTACTGTCTTATTACGTCACCGTCTTCGCTTCTAATACCGCGAACGCGTAGCAAGCGGATTAATAAACAGTCGTTTTGCAACGAGTCCGTTGATTTATTTATTTATTTTACTGCAAACCGATCCGAAACAGGCGCGGGCGCGGGTATGCCCACGATCCGTACCTACACGCCCGTACAGATGGGATTCATAGAAATAATAATTGCGGATTCGGAGGCAAACATGTACGAATAATATCGCCGGCATGCCGGTTTTCGCAATTATTGCGACATCTTCGACGGCGCAGATAAGTGGAAAACTATTGCCGATTTTACAATTCAATGAGACGTCTGGCGGAAAAAAATAGTTTGTAAATAAAATTGGGAACGGTTGCATTGCTTTCATATGAGGTTCATGTTTATGTTGATATTATATAGAAAAATAGTCGGTTCTGTATAAAAACTGATTGAATACGATAAAGAAAAAAATGTGAAAAGCAAAACAAAACTAATTTAAAAATTGATTCACATTTATTAATCATCGTTTATAATCATAGTATGATATAATAACATTCATTAATTATTTATTGAAAATAAATAAACAAAAAGCAATAAATTTTAATTGTCATTGTCCGAACGGCTTCTCCGAAAAAAAAAAATCGTTTAATCTTAGCATTTTCGTAGTTTAAAAATCCTGATGTATACTTCGAAACTGTTTACAATAATAAATGTGCAACTGACAGCTTGCATTATTAATGACTGCTTAGACGTTAATAAACAAATAAAACTCCAGTAAACATTCACTATGTAACATATTGCCCGAAGCATTAAACTCAAAAATAATAAAATAAGGTCTTAAGTTGCTCTCAGAGACCAGTCGGGCGAATGACCACAATAATTGAATTTAATCAGAGCTCATTTGACCTTATTGAATTAACTGGTGTGTAGGTCTGCGGGGACGTTTCCTGACTCTACAGTTTAAAACGCCGAAATGGCCATCAAATGTAACGAAAATAACAAACCAATGCAAACGCAAGAAGTCGGACAATATATTTGTGCCTAAATAAGTCCTACAAGTCAATTAACGATCCGCGAATTTATGAAAGAAACGACGTCAGTGTCAGTTTGTTTCCGCAGATGGCGTTGGGGCGCGTCAACGCGTCACGGAACAGAAACAGCTGGGGTCCTTGTGTCCGAGATGCTCACCGGTACTCGGAAGAAGAGTATGCGGAAGAGTGTACTGAGAGGATGGTATCAGCGCAAACGAGACAGCTCGACCCTTTGAAGGAGGACCTCGCTGACTGGCTAAACAAGATCCTCGGTACGCTTTAGGGTTACGACGATGTTGTCCGCGGGTACTGCATTAAGTACCGACAACGTCAACGCGCGTCCATTGTTACGCAAGGAAAGTGCGAAGCGAATGATAATCGGCGTCGTCTATATACGCTTCGTTAAGAGGCAATTAACGTTAATTAAAGCGGATTTAATAAAAACCGGGAAATTAAGTGACTTTCGCCGATTCGTTTGCTTCTCGAAACAAAAGAAAGTGTGCGACCCCCCGCGTTACGCGTGACGAATTTCGGAAACGCCTCGTCTCGCGTCAGATCGGCTTTGGTACGACGAGGAGCGCATAAATTCTGACGTCTGCCACTAACCAAAACTGGTCCGTAGCTATTAATGTTTTTACCATGGTAAAGAAATACCTCATCTTTTCGGAAAATATAAATAATAAGGTTAAGCCCATTAGAAGCGATGCAATTTCCACATTTATTTCTAAATTATTTTTATCCCATAAATATTGCCGTTAAGATTTTTTATTCGAGCACAATATGTTGAATATTTCAGTGTTTTTTTTGTTTTTTACCTTTGCCCCTTAATACCTTTTTTACCTTTGCCCCTACTCTCCACTCTAAAATACCCAATTATGCACCGACCAAGTCGTTAGCCACAGTCGCGCGCTACTGTACGTATTTCGTCGTTGGCAGGGTTGGGCTCATTTTCATCAAGTGATTTAAATCACTTGATTTTTTTAATTTGAAATCATGATTTAAATCAAACTCTTATTTTTTTAAATCTTTTTTTATTGATACCACCACAAAAAGCACAACGTAAAAATATTATCACAAAATAAAAAGTAAAACACGACTCTTTAAAAAAATAAAACAATTAAATATTATACACATTCCCATCCCGTTCTTTATATCTGAGTGTGCAAAACCAAAAATGATGAAAGTTCGTTTTACTGACGCCGAGGAAGCAGTTGCACATAGGAACTGTTTTATTACTGGTAGCATTTTGGCTGATCCTTTTATGATGTCGACCACCTTTTACGTTTTTTATTATTTCATTCGAAATTTTTTTTTTTAATTGGCGCCTGCGGGCATTCAGCTTTATAAAGTTCAGTGTTTCCATATAAACTATTAATTGTTTGAAAAGATTCCTTTCTTCGAGTGTTTCGAGTCAGTTGCTTTTAAGGGTTCGACATATAGGTTATAAAATGATATGGCGTGAGTATCTGCTTATATCGATCCTCATTTTTTTTTAAATTTTTGATACCTCTACAGCATCTGAGAGAAGAGCGTTTTTTCTCTGCAAAATATCAAAAGCAACTGATATTGGTTTTAAAATGCTTAAATATTCTTGAGCTGCATGTTTAAGCCCAAGATTTTGGTAAATGGTCAAATCAATTTGGTTTGTGTTTTCTTCACAGATTTTTAATAATATATCCCACTCAGTGACGTACAGCCACTAAAGCGTTGTCTCCTGCTTGACTGAATTTCACTCTAGGTAGATGGTTATCGCGAAAATACTTAACAATTTGGATTAAATGTTCTTTGACGTCAGGTATTTGCAAGTCTTTACACAGCAAATTCAAAATATGTGCATAGCAGCAATAAGTTATAACTTATAAGGCCTCTTTTCAGTGTTTTTCATGACTTCAGTCAAATATTGTAAGTATGAGGTTTTCCCGAAGTATCAATCGTTTCGTAAAGAAGCGCTAGTCCATCTTCAGTTGCTATTATAGCACATATAACTTGCCTCGTAGGGAAAATGGACGTATTCACATATTGGCCTGACAGAGAAGAAAAACATTTTGCCTTTTCCTCCTCATAGATGTCATCTAAAAGGCTTGTTGATAACGTTTTTCTTGATGGCGGCGGGTCTTAATAAGTGTTTTTTTTACTTCAGAGTTTTCAATGTATCAAAAGCTCGAATTAGCTATTGCTATTTGTTTGTCAATCATTTCTTTTTCAACTGTCGATGTTCGCATTACGAAACTACTTAAATTAGGCTGATTTTAACTTTTTTTTCTTTGTTTGGGCTTCTTTTTTGTTTGAATATTGCGGAGATTTCCAAAGGCTTGACAAATCTGTTGTGAGTATCGAGAAACTCGGGGCAGACGGCGTAGTAGCAAGTTCTACAGAACTCTCCAACGACATTCGAGTGCATAAAAAGAAAAAAAAAATTAAAAACATAATTAATCAATTTATGCCATTGTTAATAAATTTTCCTTTTAAAAAGTTAGTAATTAATTAACAGTCTTTACATTGCGAAATATTTTTTATCGTATAAAATAAAAATAAATAAGGATCTAAAAATTATAAGTATTAACATAAATAAAATATGCATGAATTCAAATTTTGGCAAGAAAAGACAAAAAGAACATGATATTTTTTAAATAATATCTGCGTTAATTCTTTTGAAAACGTTTGTGTGGATTTTACAAGATGGAAAGTTAAATAAAAATGTAATAAGTAATAATAAAACAAAATATTATTTACCTACCTGTATTCGTTTCTTGCTGCTTATTATTACAAACATCATGGTGTCCTTTACGTCTTTGAACGATCCCTTGAATTTCTTTATTGCGCATTTTACAAATCTCTCTAGACCCAGATTTATTTGGATCTGTTGTTTTAATGTAAAACCCTATGCCGTATGCTATTTTCTTTTCGTCCTGCCGTTTAAATGTTCTCACCTAATGCTCTATTTTTCAATAGTTCCAAGCCTTTGACAAACCACCAACTAAATACGCGAAAAGCATTCGACAACGACAATAGATCGGCGAAAAAACATGTCCCGATGGAGATGTTCTTGCAAATAGAGCGTTTTAAGAAATACTGAATGTGTTTATTGTCCATATGTGTGTCTATGTACTATTGTATATTGTAATTGTAATTACTACAAAAAAACAGGAAATCCATATTCTTATGAAATTAAAAAAAAATAAAAAAAACCCTGATTTTTCCAAAACAGTTATTTTTGATTTTTTAAATAAAAATCAAAGTTTGACTTTCCAACACATTCTGAGAAGTTACAAGGTTTTCGTAGTGGAGCCTTTGTACATGTCCTGCCGATCTTAGTGATTGGGATTTGATCTCTTGAATAATGTCACTATCGTTGTAGAGCAGAGCGTTAATTCTCATTTTATATTGGTTAGTGTTTGCGTTATAGTGGGGTTCAAAAGATTTTGCTGATGATTTTTTGTTCATTTGCTTTTATTATTGTCCAAGTTTCGCATCCATATGTTATTATTGGAATAATAATTGTTTTATATATTTTAATTTGGCATGTCCTTGTGATGCTTTTCGACTTCTTAGGGTTAAGTGCTTATAGGAAGCAGTTTGTCGATGAAATTCTGCCTTTTATTTCTGTTGCATCAGGGTTTTCGGTGGTCTGTGATGTTCATATTCTATGGTCTTGAGAGGTTAGAATGTGGGACTCTCGGCCCGGTATCTCGCGCGCTTATGTCCGAACCTCATGACGCAGATTAAATAAAGGACTTTTAGTAGAGTTCTCTTTTATTACAAAAAGCCTCCAACACGACAATTTCCTCAGTGACGTCGTTATCCGCAGTGATTGTCGCCCCAAGATATTTAAAACGTTTCACTCTTTCAAAGTTACAAGTATCGATTGTTACATTTTACCCTATTCTATATCTTCTTCCCATTCTGTTTATGCATACGTATTTCGTCTTTTCTTCGTTGATCTTTAATTATACTTTGTTGCTCCTTCGATCTTTCTGAAAATGTCTTTTATGGTTAAGATGGAATCTGCAATAATGTCAACATTGTTAATAGTCCGGTTTTTATTTCCGCTGCTCTCACAGCTTTCTTTAGGACTAGGTTGAAAAGTAATGCTGACAGGGTTTCACCTTGCCATAGTCCAATGTGTACTACTGGATAAACATTATTCGTACACACCTTCCTCCATACAAATTTCGGTCATCCGGATGAGCTCTGAAATGTGAAGAGTTGACCTCTATGTCCAAGTGCAGATTGACATTCGCTCAGGATGTTTTCTGTATATGGGGTTAGTTCGTGTAGTAGAACATTTGAGAGTATTTTTTGTTCTTTACGGTGATTCCTCTTTTTTGTAGATGGACACTATGATGTTTTCCTCCCATATTTCTGGTATTTTTTCTTTACGCCATATAAGCGTTATTAGTTTGTGAATTTGACTATGTCTCCTCCATAATTTAGGAATTCTACGGGTATGTTGTCCGAGGCAGGTTTCTTACAGTTCTTTAGTTTACTTTTGGGTTTCCTCAAAAGAGGGTTCTTTGACTGGCAGGTCCGGTATAGAATATGTTTCTTCTTTGCGTGGTTCGTCCTGTTTTACATTTAGAAGTTCTTTGAAGTACTCTTTTCACTTTTCAGTTAATTCTCCCTCAGCAAGTATCACTTGGCCTTGATAATTTTTAAGTGCCAGGACGGATCTCGGCTTATGATCCCTTTTCTCCCTAGCGATTGCCCCATAGAATTCTCTGGCGCCTGATTTCAGACGATCTCTTTATATATGTTTCTTCTTCCGTCTTTCTTTGCTTTGCTTTTCTTTACTTTTATTTGATTTTAGGTTTCTTTCCGACAATTCGTGTATTTGTATCTACTTTGGTTGGTCTGAAGTTGCCTTTTTCTTGCTGTTTGCCTTTTTCCTAGTTGATTTTGGCATTACTCGTCAAACCATGGTATTGTCCTCCTTCTTTTACTTTTTCCAAGGACATTTTCGGCGGTTATCGTGATTCTTTCTGCAGTTAACTCCCAGAACTTCTCGATTTCATTACTTTCTGTTGCAAAGTTTAGTTTTTTCCGAGTTCTTTGTGCTGTTTTTTCCATTCATTCAGCGATGTTTTTTAAAAATATAACCAAAAGGTACAGGTCGTAAAAAAAATTGAGTATACAACAAGCTGATAAACTTTTTCAATCAAACGGTTATTTTAACGTTCGCGCCGCTTGTGCTAAATCAAAGGCATGACTAAAGTGCAGTTTATCGAACGTGTTCCATAAGGTACTATGAGCACACACATTAATTCGTGGGTGT